AGTGTTGAGGGAATTGTTTGTTTAGCAGAGAGATGGCATTTGGGGAAAAACTGTCCTTGTGTCTAGTTGTTCTGTTGTGCATTGCTCTATGGAGGGGATGGCGAACCTATGGTACGAGTGCCAGAGATGGCATGCAGAGCCCTCTCTGTGGGCACATGCGCCATTGACAGCTGATCTTCTGGTTTCTGACCCGTGTGGTTTGTGCTGGAAAACGACCTGAAAACAGCCCAACAATCGGCAAAAAATAGCCAAAAAACAGGCTGTTTTTCAGGCTGCTTTCAAGCTGTTTTTGGCCTGAAAACAGCCAAAAAACTGCCTGGAAACAGTCCAAAAATGCCCCCCAAAATGCCCAAAAAGCAAGCATGCATGTGCCAGCCAGCTGGCCTTCAGGTTTCTGGCACATGTGCACAAACACAGATTCCAGTGGTGAGGGAATTATTTGTTTAGCAGAGTGATGGCATTTGGGAATAAATTGTCCTTGTGTCTAGTTGCTCTGGTGTGCAGTGGCCTATACCAACGTTTTGAAGGTAGGAGTTGAAACCATTGATGTCCAGGATGCGAGGGGTCTGTAGATATTTTCACGGCCCTCTTTTTGACTCCTGCAGTGTTACAGGTCCTCAATGGAAGGCAGATTAGCAGTAATTGTTGTTGTTTTTTCCCCCTGCAGGAGGAATCTTCCTTTCCTTTGCAATTGCCAGAACTCTCTGCCCTGTTTCCTAAGAGTAGCATCAGCCTTGCCAAGTCCAGCCCATGTAATTCTGGCTGAAAGTCCAAAGTTTCTACGTCCTATGATAGCCATGGCCTTTAAAACACAGATAATTCAAGGCTTTTTCCTGCAATCAAAGAAAGGGACAGCTGGAAAGGAGGTTTTTCTCTCCTGCGCCAATGCGCCAATCTCTTTCCCAATTCGGACTCAAGATATCCCGGAGAGGAGACTCGGAGTCCTGGATTTGCCCTTTTGTGACTCTTGCAACCATTTCGAGAAACGCTGGAAAGATTCGAAGCTTGCACAATGCTGAAAAGCCCTCCAAAGCAGGGGAGAAAAATTGTACAGAAGAAAAGGGTTGGGCAAGGGGAAAATAACTCTTCAAAACCCCAAATTTGTTTCTGGCAGTTAACAAAGCAGGTGTCCTACTTCCCCTTTTTTTTTTACATGTGCTCTCAAGCTCTCTGAGCATAAACTGGGACAAAACAAACCTGTGGCTCAATGGCTAAGACGCTGAGCTTGTCGATCTGAAAGGTCGGCAGTTCAGCGGTTCGAATCCCTAGCGCCACATAACGGAGTGAGCTCCCGTTACTTGCCTCAGCTTCTGCCAGCCTAGCAGTTCGAAAGCACGTCAAAAATGCAAGTAGAAAAATAGGGGCCACCTTTGATGGGAAGGGAACAGCGTTCTGTGCGCCTTCGGGTGTTGAGTCACGCCGGCCACATGACCGCGGAGACATCTTCANAAGAAGAGGAAGAGGAAGAAGAAGAAGAAGAAGAAGAAGAAGAAGAAGAAGAAAGGAAGAAGAGGAGAAAGAGGGGAAAGAGGAGGACTTCTAAATCTTCTCATAGGCTAACAAACAAGAAAGATCTCCATAAACTCAGAAACCACACATTTAACCCATTCATTCATTGCGCAGAGCGCCAATTTCCCCAGCTAACACCAGAACCAGATCAAGAGAGAGCCCAGGCGAAACTCTGCAGAAAAAAACACACCCCTTTGTGCATCTTTGAGTCGAACTGGCTTTTCGAACGCCTGCAACATTTGCAACAGCCGGAGAATCCGGTGGGAGGGTGGGGGAGCAGAGACTATTAATATCCAGTATGATCGAGGGGGAAGCCAAGAGATCAAGGAATGGGAAC